GGTTGTTAACCAATGTCATAAAACAGCATGTGTGTTACTGTTACATGAGAAACTATCTGTTGTGTAAGCCTTCACCTGAAGTACAATAAAATATTAAAAAAAAAAAAATAGTAATTGCCATAGATAAAAGAGAAAACCCCAGACCCTTTTCCTGAGAAAATACACTTTAGTTGAGTATGAGATTAAGGGTATGAGGTACGATTGATTACAGATTGATTACTTTTGTGTGGCCTTTCTAGCCATGGTCTTGTAACTCCCACCCAGGTGATTGGGCGGCACTGTGTGATAGGGTAATTCAAGGGGACTGGTCAGTTTTGCCTTAAAAAAGAGCCAATTCCAGAGCAGAGAGGAGGAGCCCACCACCACCAAGGAAGGAGAGACCAGCAGGAGAGACCCAGCAGCAAGAAGCGCGGTGGGCTTCCCGGCCCACGAGAGAGACAGCTAAGTGCCTCTGGGCAGAGACTGAGGGCCAGGGAGAGGTGCCTGTGAGCACAGCTAGGGAGAGGCTATCCTGATGAAGAACTGTATCCTGGGTGTTCTTGAGCCTGAACTGTAAATGTTACTTCTCTAATAAACCCCATAATTATGAGTACGGCCTGTGAGTTCTGTGTAGCCACTGCAATGAATTACTGAACCTAGCAGAGTGCTTTGGAAGGGACAGTTGGTGTCAGAATTGGTAGAGACGGTGGAGAGAGGAGGCATCTTTGACCTCCACCTCATTCGAAGCAGCCTTGGGCTGTTGATCTTGGTTCTCCTTCCCCCTTGTGGGGTTGGTGGAGGTCAGACACCTCCCCAGTGTCGTTTTCACAGGGTAATAAAAGGTGTGTGTGTGTGTGTGTGTGTGTGTGTATATATATATATATATATGTGTGTATATATATATATATGCATACATATATGTTTATAAAATATAAATTTATAACCACAATTTTATCAAGATTCTATGTTTAGATGTTTTTAAATTGAAAAAATATAGATTTTCTTCAAAGAAAAGATAAATTAAGGGGCCAAATAAAACATATTTAGCATCAGGATTAGATGTATAATAGTCTTCATTGCCAAATGTGTCAGTGTGTCTGCTTCTATCTCAGTGTTAGAAATAATTTCCATTTCCTAGTAGAATTTTAGTCAACAACATTTGACCTCATTAATTTCCAAAGAGTAACTTACTTTAATGTGATGTACACCATTCATTTTTCCAATTTGTTGCTCAATGGTCCAAACACAGGAGCTGCATGTCATCCCTTCAACAGAGATGATGGCAGAATTCATATGCATACTTGGATTCATTTTTACTTCTTCTTTACATTCCTGTTAGAAACAATAAACTCATTAATTTTAGCCATGGAAATTATCCTTCCTCCAGTTCTCTCCCACCTCCCCAAATGAAAATGTACTAGTAATAAAATGACAGCATTCATTTCTACTTGCTTGGTGTGATGGCTAATGTTATGTGTCAACTTGGCTAGGCCATGATTCTCAGTGGTTTGATAGACAGTATGTAATCATCCTCCATTTTGTTATCTGATGTGAGCAGCCAATCAGTTGGAAGGGGAATTTCTTTGGGGGTGTGGCCTGGATCCAACATATATGGATGTTCTAGCAAAGTGTGTGCTCTCTCTCCCTTGATCCTGCACTCGTCTCATGGTCTGACCTCAGGTTCTTGGAAAAGCCTTCAGCCAGCCACCTGACCTGCAGATTTTGGAGTCGCCAGCCCCCGCAACCACATGAATTAGGAGAAGCATTCAGCCTCCCATCTGACCCACAGATTTGGGATTTGCCAGCCCCCACAATTGTGTGAGCCATTTCCTTGAAGCAAATGTTCCTCTAGAGAACCCAGTCTAAAACGCTTGGGAAAAAGTTTTCTTTCCCTTAGATGAGGTAAAGAAAAGTTGTTTCTATGGCTGTAATAATGAAAAACAAAAATTTACAATACTTGCATAATAAAGTAACTAACCTTTGTAGAGTGCTTTCCTGATTACTAAACATTTTCCCATACATAATCCCATCTATTACTTAGAATGAAGAGATAACTCAGAGTGACTAAAATCCTTACAATGGCCAACAAGGTCCTAAATGATTCACTCCACCCACTTCCCTCAACTTCACCTCTCTGACCTCCTCTCTTACTACTCACAAGCCTCCCTGTGTATTACAGTTACACTAGCCTCCTGGCTAAAGACATGCCAGGCTGAATTCCACCTCAGGGACTTTGCTTTAGCTATTCCCTTCCTTTGGAAGGTTCTCCTTCCAGGTATCTGCTTGACTAACTTCCTCATTTCCTTCATGTCTTTCTTCAAATCTCACCTTCTTGATGAGGCTCTGTCTAAAGGTGCAACCTATACCCCTTCCACATACACAAACTCAGATTCTCCTTACACTGCTCTATTTTTGTCTTTCCATATGAGCTACTCCTTTTAACATACTCCATAATTTACTTGTGTTTATTGCTTATTGTCTAACGTCCCATGGCAGTTTTTAAATATGTTCACAAATTCTCTGTCACTCCTTCCTTTGAGTGGTAGAATTTAACTTCTTTCCCCTCAAGTATGAGCTTGACTTAGTGACTTGCTTCCAACAAGTAGAACATGTCTTTGTCCTTCCTCTTTGCCCTCTCTCTTGAATCACCCAGTCTGGGGGAAGCCAACGGCCACATCATGAGGCTACGCAAAGCAGCCTTATAGAGAGGTCTATGTGGCAAGAAACTGAGGCCTCCTGCCAACAACCAGCAAAGAACTGAGAACTCCCACCAACAGCCAGGTAAAGTAAGCCACTTGGAAGCTGATTCTTCAGCTCCAGTTAAGCCTTTAAATGATTACAGCCCCAGCTGACAAACTGACTACCATCTCATGAGAGACCCTAAGTAAGAAACACCAGCTAAGTCACCCCTGAATTCCTGACCCACAGAAACTCAAGAGGCACCTCGGAAGAAAGGAATGGCAATTTACTTTAAAAAAAATTAGCCACTAAAAACCCTATGGAGCATAGTTCTACTCCGACATACAAGGGATCACCATGAGTTGAAATCAACTCTGCAGCAACCAGTTTTTATTCCAAATGCAATAGTTAACAATTCAGTTATGCCCATTGATTCTTCTTACGAAATCAGTGTTAAAGTATTACCTATTTTTACATATAGAAACTGACACTATTTAATCAATATAAAAGAATACATTTTGTCCCATTTTGCTTTGAAGCAGGCTTTATTCAAGATCAAAATATCATGACTTCTAATGGACTATACTACTAAAGATCTTCATGTTCTAGTAATCTGTGACTTATAATTTATATGTATAAATAAGCTGCCACTGCTCTGAGAAACTCTATCTTCCTCTAGCCAGAGCAGCTTCCCTATAGAAAACAGGACAAAATCCGAAATTTTGAAGGAATCATAAATGGAACAAGAAGTAGTAGAATTGAATTAGTTTAGGGAGCTAGAACTAGCTACTCCCGCTCAAACATGTTTCTCTACACTGCCTGAATTTTCCACTGTACTATATTTCAATTTAGAGATTATTTATGCTAATATAGTTCTTTTTTCACTTAATTTTTATTATAAAAAATTTCTACCATACAGAAAAGCTGAAATAGTAATCTATTTATCCTCTGCCTGAATTCAACAATTGGTAACATGTTGCTATATTTGCTGGTTTTTCCTAAACTGTTCAAATTTAAGTTTTAGAAATCATAATTCTTCACCTTATATACTTTACCATTCATTTCCTAAAAATAAGAACTTCTATGAAACCACAATACCATTATCACAGCTAATAAACTGTAAATCATCTAATAGCCATTCTCTATTTAAATTTTAGCAAATGTCCCAAGAACATATTTTATAGATTTTATTTTTCCCAAATCAGGATCCAGACAAGATTCACACATTGCATTTGGTTGTTATGTCTCTTTTTTGCCTCAATCTAGAAGAGCCCCCCACCATCTCTTTTCGCCATGAAGTGAATTTTTGAGGAATCCAAGTCAGTTGTCTTGACAGACACTGTATTATCTTTTTTTAAAGTATGAGCATCTCTTTGATAGTTCAGGGGTTGATAGAATTACATCTCCTAATGCCTACATAGGAGCCCTGGTGGTGCAGTGGTTAAGCACTAGGCTGCTAAACAAAAGGTCAATGATTCAAAGCCACCAGCTTGCTCCGCAGGAGAAAGATGTGGCGATCTACTTCCATAAAGATTTATAGCCTTGGAAACCCTATGGGGCAGTTCTACTCTGTCCTACAGGGTCACTATTAGTCGGAATTGACTTGATGGCAGTGGGTTTGGTTTTTGGTAATGCCTACGTAAGGAGCCCTGGGGGCGGATCACTTAAGCACTCAGCTGCTAATTAAAAGATTGGTGGTTTGAACCCACCAAGCGGCTCCGTCGGAGAAAGACCTGGTGATCTGCTTCTGTAAACATTACAGCCAAGAAAATCCTATGGGGCAGTTCTACTCTGTCACATGGGGTCACTACGAGTAGGAATTGACTCGACGGCACCCAACAACAATGCCTATGTAAGATCAGCTACTCAAGAGAGCAGGAGCTCAAATAGGACAGAAAAGCCAGGTAATTTTAAGCAAAGGACACTTGGAATGAATGGAATATGACAGACCCAGGTGAAGAGTCCAACGTAGGGTACTTAAAAATAAAGGCATTAGGGGCTAGGGAGAGGGTCACTGAGAAGTAGTACATTGTATGAAAAGTGAAGTAGAAAAATGTCTAAAACAAGCAGATCCTATCAATATTTTGCTTAAGGCTAGTCTTGTGCTTAAAAAAAGGAGACCTTTCTTCTTTCTTCTTATAGCACATGGCTGCTTGCCTCCAGGACAGAGTACTCAGACTTAGTACTCTGATATAGCTCAGATATGTTATGGGTCAAATGGGAAATTTGAGGAGCCCTGGTGGTGCAGTGGTTAAGAGCTAGGGCTGCTAACCAAAAGGTCGGCAGCTTAAATCCACCAGTCACTCCTTGGAAACCTTATGGGGCAATTCTACTCTGTCCTATAGGGTCACTATGAGTCAGAATCGACTCGATGGCAATGAGTTTTTTTTTTGGGGGGGGAGGGGACATTTGAGGGCTGATCTAGGAACATGACCAAAATTGATAAAATTGTTTCATAGGAAAATGTCAAATTCATTAATTAGGGTAGAATAACTTTCCTTGAAATATAATAAATTATGTTATTTAATTAATTTGATTATATTAATTATATAATATCATAAACCTACCCATTGCTATCAAGTCAATTCCAACTCAGCAGTCCTGTAGGACAGAGTAGAACTGCCCCATAGGGTTTCCAAGGTTATAATATTTACAGAAGCAGACAGCCACATCTTTCTCCCACAGAGCAGCTAGTGGGTTCAAACTGCCAACCTTTCAGTGAGCAGCTGAGAGCTTAACCACTGCACCACCAGCCTCCTTTAATATAATACCATATATATTACATATAACTAGTTATATAATAAAATATTTAATTAATTATATCATTTAATAAATTAAATTATACTAGATGAAGGCTAATATATCTGGTTTGTTAGGAAATACAGTTCTATTATGGGGTATGCCCCAGACCAAAGTACTGGAGTATCCCTCAGGTTTACTGAAGAACCGAGAGACTAGTTAAACAGAAAGGCACTTTTACAAACTAACTTGATAATTAACACTGGGAGGCGAAAATATCTAAGCCTGAATGAAAATTACATTAATAAACCCACTTTTCCCACTACATTCTAATTTAAGCATCTTAAATCAACTATGATATGTATATAACTCCTTCTGCTTTCATAATTGACCTGCAATCTTTTTTTCAAACTCTACTCAAATTGGACTTTATCCACAAAACCTCAGAGGAATTCCATCTCACTCTTACTACTCTATTACATATATAGATAACTTTAATTGATTTTGTAATATATGTTATGTCCATCTTTTGAGTTTTAAATGTCTCAAAGATAAGCACAAAGCCAGGAATCTTTTGTAACCTCCCATTACATTTAGCAAAATGACTCAGAAAACAGAGTGAAAGCATAAATAAGTTCATGTGGTAGGGCAGAAAAAAAAATGTAGGCTTCTGGGAGATCACAATACCAAAGAGAAAAATTTGGCATGCAGCGATTAGTAACAGAGTGACTCTGAGAACAAGGGCATTCAACAACACTGAGGGAAATAATTTCTAGTTATTAAAGTTTTTTAAGCCACTCTCCAAACACAGATGGTAATCACCACCAATAATACCATATCCTAACAGGAAGAATAGTACTATGACTCAATAGTCATCTGTTTTGGAAACAAAAACTGCAGAAGTTGAGTACAAA